CACTTGGGAAAAAAAATAATTTATGCATTATTATTTGTACATTTGCCCAAAAGCAGTAAAAATGACTTCCTTGGGCAATCTAGTGTTAACGTCAGAGGATATACTAACAGAATTAGGGATAATAACGTGCTCAGAATTTCATTAGTCTTTTTTCTTACTACAGTATTCTTTAAATACAATGCAGCGTGTAGAATTTCACATGTATCGCAATTTATATCGTATAATTCGCTGTGTCGATATTTTATCAGAAACATGTTTACGGTAAATTGAAATTATCATCTCCATTAATCACGTCTGTCCTGTAGTCTCGGTTGCGCACGGATGGGTGATCAATGAAGGGAGGATATTCACGAACAACTGATATCCCAAAAGTAGGACAACGTCCAGTTCCGTATTTTCCAGCTTGTCAATACAAAATAATAATAATAATTCTGCCACACGTAAATTCGAATAGTATATCGAAATGTTTCACGTGCTATTCGTCGAAAAATTATTTCATTTGTTCAAAGCTTGTTTATGGAATTTGCAACCGCTTCGAGTGTAGAGAACCACGACTCGAAAAAAGTTCTCTCATTAAAACTTTCACCTCCTAAAGATGGGGACAGAAGAATGTGAGAGAAGAAAAGTAAAGTTTACGCTCTATTAAATGTTACAAATAATGGATCCTCAAATACTGTGAGAACTTCTTTATAATCTCAGTAAAAAGAACTAATAGTAGCCGATTAAATTTTCGTTAAATTCTCTTTTTGACCTTATTTATTTTTTAAATTCGTCCACTAACTTAAATAGAAGTTACCAAATAAGTATACGATGAACGTACATAGCTGAGGACAAAAGAATTTCATTTCTAGTGTATCCGCCTTTTTCTTTCCTCTTCGCGGTTACACGGGGTTCGCGACACATTTATTTATAACAGTTACGAAGTGGTCCGAGTGGTTTGTTACGAAACAGTTGCTACTTTGTCGAGGGTCGAGGAAGGAAGCATGAAATCGTTTCCTGTAATAAATCACCGTTCAGCGTCGTCGGGAAACACCAGACGCTAGGTAAAAACGTCGAAATTGTCGGTCTTTCGTCGTTTCGGTCTCCGCAGTCTCTGTTGGAGCATTTCGAGACACAAGCGCAGCTATGTGTAGCTGTAGAGGCCGGCTGTGAAACGCGATTCAAGATGCATTTAAGGTAAATGCC